CACGAGTTGCGCAACCCATTGGATGTGGGAAGGGGCATAGAAGCGCTGCTCCTCTTGTTGGCCCGCACAAGTTGTAGCGAGTCGGCGTTGGTCCAGTTTTGTTTCAGGCGGTGGAGGTGGCGGAGGTTGTTGTTGTTGAAGTGGGTCGTCAAACTTCATGGAGGTGGCGGAGGTTGTGGGGCTGGCCGTTCGTCTTGAACGCGCGCGCGAGCAAGCGCTTGCCCGTCTTGTAGAGGCAGTAGCCGCGAAAGTGGGTTGGCGGTGCATTGGACGACCGACGCCCGTGAGGCTGTTGTGCGGGCCACCATGTCCAGAGCAAGGAACACTCGAGCACCACGATCAGTTTTTAACATTCGACTATTCTCTGATCCCGCGTCTGAGCAGGGCCACTCTTTTGCATCCTCCGGCAAAAGATACATTTTGGTGCTAGCGAAAACGGTAGTCACCGGTGTCCCACTGTACCCTAGCCACTCATCTGAGAACATGGAGAACCCAAATCACCTGTGCGTTGAATCATCCCGGGTGGAGAGCAGAGCCGCAGCGAATGCAAACCTGCCGACTCGTGGCCGTGCCCAACAAAATGACTAACTCTCTACTTGCACGGTAGGATAGACATTCTGCGGTGGTGCAAGTATTACAATACACTTTGTGGTTACCTTGTTGAAGCACGATAGAATCCAGTGTATCCAGTGTCATACGATATCCTCACAAGTATCCGTCATCGGATCGTCGTTGACGTCAAATCGCTCCCTTGTCCTTACGCTGTGTCAAGTATCAGAACGAGCAAAGAAGATCGCCACTGGAGCTCGAACCGAGCATTTTAACCACCGTATCGGTTTCAAAAGTGTTGTTTTCCGCCTGTCTGGCTCTCTACGTCGAGTCGCATGGACGACAACGGGCGCATGCTCGTCGCGGTGCGCTTGCGGCCCAAGCTCGCATCCGAAGCCCACGAGCTGGATGCAGTGACCGTGCGCGGCGAGAAGCTGCAGCTGCTGCACGCGCCGTGGACGCGGCTGCACACGTCGTACCAATTCGACCACGTCTTTCGCGCGTCGGCGTCCAACGCGGACATTTACGCTGTCTTTTTAGCTCCCGTCGTCGCGTCGGTCGTGGGCGGCAACCACGCGACGATCCTGGCGTATGGACAAACGGGCACGGGCAAGACACACACGATGCTTGGCCGCGACCTCTGGGGGCTCTGCGCGTCGCCCGAGCACCCACCCTCGGACCTCTCACCGGATGCGTACGCACTCCTTTCTTATAGCAACACCACATCGATGGTACGCTCTATTAGGGGCCTCATGGGACTCGTGGCCGCCGCGCTCCTTCAGCACGAAGCGTCGCTGCAGTGTACGTATCTCGAACTCTACAACGACAAGGTGTACGACTTGCTCGCCGATGGGAGCGTGAGCTTGGAGCTGCGCGAAGACGCGTCGGTTGGTGTCTATGCGCTGGATGCCCGGACGGTCTCCGTCTCGAGTGGCGATGCGCTCGTGGACATTCTTTGGCGCGGCGCCGAGACGCGGGCCCACTGCGCCACCAACATGAACGAACGCTCGAGCCGGAGCCACACGCTGCTGCAGCTCACGCTACCGACGTCCGGGCAGCGCGTCAACCTCGTCGACTTGGCGGGCTCAGAAAAGTGCAAATACATGGCAGGGGACGGCCAGCACGTCAAGGTACACGCATGATTGCCCTATTGTGTGTAGCAACAGTTGGTGTAGGAGCTCAAATTCATCAACCAGAGCTTGTCGAATTTAGGACAGTGCATCACGGCGCTGCTCAAGCGCGGCAAGAAGCACGTTCCGTACCGCAACTGCAAACTCACACGATTACTACAGCACTCGTTGGGTACATAGCTTTCTCTGCAACCTTGATAACCGCTCATGCACCTCAGAGGGCAAGGCGCTCTGTGCCTTCATCGTAACACTGAATCCGTGTGCCAGCAACACAATGGAGACGCTCTCGACCCTGCAGTTTGCAGCACGGGCGATGAAGGTCAAGGTCGTGAGCCGTGACGCCCGACTCGCCAGCGGTACTAGTACGGGGCGCTGACTTCGCCGCATGTGACTTATTTTGTCTAGTCGAGACCAAGGAAATTGCAGCATCGACTGTGGTAAAACCTGCGCCGTACGACACAAAGACGTAACCTTGCCCAACTAGTTGCTATCGCAAGTGCAAGCGCTCCAGCTCGAGAACCAACAACTGCGCGCAGCGCTTGCCCACGTGCGCCAATTCAGCATGTGTTATCACTCATTGGGTATGTAGGAGCGGTCCCAAAAGAGCAAGCTCCTCGCGGGGTTCACGTCGTTGCTACAAGACACAGCGTCGGTCGAGCGCGTCGACTCGAGCACGCAGGTATAGCGTCTACCGTACATGGGTGTCATGCCTACGACGCGGCAGATCCACCGCGAGTCGTTTTGCGTGGGTGACGAGGCCAGCGACAACAACATGTCGGACGACGCCGCCACCATTGTCGCGCAAACACGTACACCGCATTCAAGGAATGGACAAGTTGTCTGATATGGCGTAGACGCCTCGGATGCGTTCATTTTGGACAAGTTGTCGTTGCTCGAGCAGACCGTGCAGCGCCAACTACAGGACATTCAACGCACCAAGGAGCGCCTCGTCCCACGCACTACCACGGTAGTTGCTTGCCTTTGTGGAATCGATACAAAACCAGTTTCCAGATCCCGGACCAGATCCAGTCGCCAGACAACAACAACCAAAACGACGCGACCAATCAGTGGGAAGCATACGTCGATGTTCGCACGGGTTTCAAGTACTACCACAATCCCTCGACGGGCCAGACCCAGTGGAAGAAGCCATCGGCAGCCGGCGACGATAGAAGAGCAGATACCTAGTTTAATACGATGCGTCAAACCCTAACCCATTGTGCCATACGTACGCTTGGCTTGCCAGCACGTCGCCCTCGGATGCAGCAGTGACACTCGCGTCGTCACATGCAAACCACGTTTCCGAGCAGACAAAACTGGTGTAGTGCCCGCCGTGGACAGAAGTGCCGTGATGAGTAACGACCGCCACGAGGTCGTACACCGTCGGTCTTTACGACATCAGCAACTAGACATCGAGATCGGACGTACGTGGGCGTGGACGACGGCGCAACGAACGGGCCCATGTTCAAACCACAGAGCGGAAAGGTGACGGGCGTCGTGATTTTGCGCTGGGCCGCAAAGCGCTACGCTACATAATGTGGATGGGCGGAATCGAGTCTGCATCAAGCACCTTGAAGTGGATGACGAGCACCAGAGGCAGCTTCTGGAACGAGAGCGTTTTGGTGCAGTGGCGCGACGTACCGCAGGCGCCGCAGTCGACAACAACGGGCTCTGGTCGGACATACCGCGCGAACAAGGCCTCAAGCGAAGACAAACCCAGCGCGATCGACACGTCCGTCATGGGCTCGCGCGCCGTCGATTGGTGGCTGCAGATGTTGCAGACCACGTCCGACCGCAAAACGCCTTCCAACGCCGCGTGCACCGTCGAGAAGCACGATGATGGGGTTCGACTCGGATCTACGCGCGAGAATGGCATGCTTGAACGCAGTACTAGATCTGAATCCACTGGGTATACCAGATATGTGCAGTCCGTCGAGAAGACTGAGAAGGAATTCGTGGGCGTCGTGCTGTTTGCAGCCGGCCAAGCGTGGCGCATGCTGCCACACTGCGTACAGCAGGGCGGACGGCGCGAGCGGGCTTGCCTCATCCGCACGCATCTGGTACCTCGTTTCAAGCGCGTTCAAGCAGGTCATATATATGGACCTCGGTTACGACGTCGTGGAAGCGACAAGGCAGGCAGAGGTCGTCGCGACAGCGAGGAGCGCGTCCAAGCTGGAGACGTGGGAGATGGCACATCGCTTGGAGGATGACGTTCATGTAGCACGTGTGACCCATATTAACCATGCCCCGCGCTACACAAGAAGCATGAATGCGCGTTGGTCCATCGAGCATGCCAAATGGATCGTACGGAGGCGGTCCGTGGCAGCCTCGCGCTCTCCTCACGTCATGAGGTGTGATGTCTCGTCAATGGCATGCGCTTACCTCGGCGTCGTTTGTGCTTCTGCCGCGCTACACACGCGATGCTAAAGATGCCGACGGCTACAAGGCGTGCTACGTACATGTGGGCTGGTCATCGTACACGACATCGACGCATTCGAAGCAGAAGAGCACTTGAGCGTCGATGAGCCAGCCTGCGCAGCATTGGCCCACCGTTCAGCTCGCACGTCAACGCACCAATGGGGTGCTGGTGCAGAAACGCGTGCTGGCTAAACGATGCGGCGTGCATCGCGCCAAGCGGCCCGACAAAGTCGCAGCCGTCGGCGAGGCAGACGCTGGTTTCGTCGATGAGGCGCCACGTGGCTTGAGGCGACGCCTACTATGGCTTGAGACCGAGCCTGCGCAGAGGCCATGACGCACGGCGTAGAGGTTCAAGCGGGCGCTGCCACGTAGGCCGCAGCGGCGAGAGCTGGCCTCGCTCGCCCACCGCGCGACGTGCTTGCACATTCCGGATAGCAATGCCCACCGCGCGACGTGCTTGCACATTCCGGATAGCAATGCCCACCGTTTTAAATCCGGATACGGATTCGTTCAACCAATGGTGAATGTCCGTGAGGTGGAGAAACTCTCTGGATCTGGATTGGGTCGTGGCTAGGTGTCATCTCAAAACGTACGTGGGGAAAACAAATTTGATTGTCGCATTTCTGAACACAGCTATTATTGGCGAATTGCGTCGATACGAGTAGGTGTGGGAAAATTCTTCCATAAGAAGTTCTTTCCCAAATGATGACATTTTCAACAGCTGTTGCTGAGACGGTGGGATATCTACCTTGTTACAACACCTAACCGAAAACGAACTGATCCACACCTCCTTTATATATTTGCACGCTCGTCGGTTTCGAGGATTTCTCACTCGACCGCATCAAGGTGCTTGTGGTTTTCATAATTTTGAAAACCACAACCCCCCCTCGCATCGTGCAAGAGCCGTCGACAGGCATCGCAGTCCGGCGCTACGTGTATGCCCATACGAAGTGCTGCCAATGGTGAGGTACAATTGCTTCGGTGACGCAAAAGAGATCGGGGCATGCCTGTGTGAACGAGTCAGCACGATGAATAACCGGTGGGACGGCTCTTGAGGGGTGTGTTGACGATCTTGGCTGCTCGCACGATGGCGATCACGACGTACCTGCCCGATACGACTACCGGTCCTACGTCATTGAGGGCAGGGAATGAAGCAATGACGTATCGTACTCGCCACAGATTTGGCTCTCTTCGAGCATCTCCAAAGTCAACGGGTCGGGCGGTTGATAGCAAAGCCCCACCTTGCCCTTTGCCCACAATGCATGCACGCAACGAGGTAAGATACAGCAGACTCGCTCGACCGGTTGCTATGCCACTGGGGATAACCGCTACGTCGTGCGGTCGTGACAGTATTTTTGATTTCGAAACCAACCACGCGGCATGGCCGACCCAATGGGCTACGTCGTGACGGCGGTCACGAGCCAGTCGATCACATACCTCTTTGCCCACACGGACCTTCTCGAAGAGTTTCGCATGGCGCTCGTGCCCGGCGCGCTCTCCGACACGTCTGCGGCCACGCTCCGGGCCTTCTTTGCACGCGACGCGTCGGGTACTCTGCTAGCATAGCAAGGTCGTTGTGAACTTTCTTTGGCTAGTGGCGGAGCTCATCACGCTTCTCTTTCTCGAGCCGCCACTCCCGTCCCATCGCAGTGGCACGCCCAGCTACGTCGAATGCGCAAACTTGTACTACGTCCAGTACCTCATGACGACGCCGCCGTTTTCACCGGGCATCGTCGAGAGCTTCTTGGCGCCAGACGAGCACCGCGTCGGGCGCGCTACGCTACTGCGTCACCTGTTAGCGTACACGCCCATGAGCGCAATGAACGCAGAAGCACTGAGCCGCGTGCTCACGGCGCTCTTTGCGAAAGCCACGATTCCAACGTTCTTTGCCCTCTACGGCACGGACGCGCCGGCCTTGTTTGAAGGTACCCCTTTGTTCAGATACTAGCAGCAAAATGGGTGGTAGGGCTGCTCTTCCAGGCCGGGCGCGAGTGCATCAAGGAGCTCGTGCTGCGCATTTGCGACGAGCTGCAGCCGACGCCGTTGATTGCGTGGGCGCCGACGCCGTACCGGCTCCTGCACCAAATTTTTCCATTTTCAACGACGCTGCCGAAACGTGGGCAGCTCCCAATGCACGTTAGCACCGACGCCGACTATCGGTTTCCGCTCATGCTGTACACGTGTGATTTCATCACGGACCTCATCCAGGAGCAGCGACCACACTCGGTTGGGCTCTTGATCATTGAGACCTTTATGACCGAAAGCGACTGCGCGATGGCGCTTGTGGATGGCGTCCTTGACGACTTGCGCACGCTCCCGACGCGCCTGGCGTGCGAGTCGTACGGCATGAAGATACTCAACTCGCTCCTGCAGGCGCACCACTGCGGCTGCATCGCCCAGCACCAGAGCTTTGACGGCGACCGCTACGAGACGTGCCAAGGCTCGTTGAATGCGATTTGGGACGTGGTCGCAGCGCGCCTTCCCGAGATCTTGGCCTATTTGCGCCTGCCGGCGCCGCGCACGTTTACGCTCAAGCACGTGCAGGTTGGAATATGACGTGGCAGCACGAGACGCGAGATGATCCATTTGTAGATTTTGTATTTGCTGTACCCCATCATTCGCGTCGGGTGCATCCAGCTCGACGTCGCCCTCATGGCCTTTGACGTTGTCAATGTGCTCTTGGATCTGATCGCGCGCTTTCCGCGGGCCAACATTCTACACAGCGCGATCTGCCGGCTCTTTATCACGTGCCTCGAAGACGCGCCGATCCTGTTTGGCGAAGAGCTCCAGTCGCCGCGCACAGCGTCCGACCCGCTGCGGCTCTCGGCGCTGCTCGCGACCGACCGCGTCATTGCCGGGTGTGACGACAAGTGGGTGACATGCTACAAGGACATTGCCATGTCCTACGATGAGTTTTTCGCGCAAAAACCGGTCGTTTCCGACGAAATTGCGTCGCACTGGGCGGCCTTTGCGAGTACGCACCTCGAGGCCATTCGGCAGCGCTGGTCCAATGCGCCTCTCGAAGTCTCGGCGGTCCGAAAACGTACGTTGCTCTTTGCATTTTTGTTTGATTTTTCGAGAATTTCGATGATTTTCGATGATTTTTTATCCATTTTGATTTCACCTCTTTCTTTGTAGACAAGGCGAGCAAACTCATCGAACACGGCGACGTCGATGCGCTCTTGACACTGACGCAAAAAGCTCCGACATTTTCTGACATTGGAGCTCCGGCACAGGCGGCGGAGCACGCAACCAGTGCGTCATCGTCATTTTCGCCCATGAACACAGAGGCCGCCTTGCGCCTTGCACTGGCAGGCGCGTCCGAGAAGGTGAGTCCGCGCGTGGCGCCGCTGCCGTCCTTGCATCTCGCGCTCTCGGAGCTGCACGCGACTGCCAGCGAGCACGGTCGGCACCGCGAGCTCATCGACCACGCGAGTCCGTCGTGCAAGCACCACAACAGTCTCTCCGAGACACCGCCATCGTCCCCCACAAAGGACACGCCACTGCATGCCCTCTACAACCCTGAAGAGCATGCGATCATCCAAGGGTTAGGGTAATCTCGGAATCGTTGGACTAGAAAGTTAGGCACTGGTCTTGGTCTCTTCCTCGAGTTCGTTTTCGTCGTCGGCCGGTGCATCCTGCTCGAGCACTTGGATCAAGAACGACACGAGCGCGTGGAGCCGGTCTTGCTGCGCCGCGTGGTGGGCGTCGTCGATCATCTCGGCCTGCGCTGCCAGCACTTTCGCAATTGTCGCCAGCGAGAGACCATGCACATGGAGCTTTTGCTTGACGTACGGAAGCAGCGACTTGGCAAACACTTGGCAGAGGTGGCTCGTCACAAAGCACGCTTGCTGGAGCGTAAAGAGCCCATTGTCGAGCTGGTGCAGCCGGTACGCTTCCATGACCGTCTCGTACGCCTCGTCGTCCATGTCGTCTCGCCGGACCGGCTCTTCAAACTGGCGGTGCATCGCGCGGTGGTACTGCAAGACAAAATCCACAAGCCGGTCGGTTTTCTCAAAGTTGGTTTCGAGAAACTTGGCCTGGAACCGGTCGCGGACCTCGTATTTCGAGTCAATCGGCAGCCAGAGACTCAGCGATGCAAAGAGCGAGAGCACGTGCTCGTCGTTGGTCGCATGCGTGTCCTTCTTACGACGGAGCTTGCCCATGAAGAGCGGGCAGAGCTGCTTGAGCCCGCCGAGTTCGATGAGCCGTTCGCAGTTGCGCGCGTGGTTCATCGTCGCGTGGTCCAAGACGCGCAATGCCGGGCCCTTGCAGAAGAGGTTTGCTTTGAGAAAGCGCAGCATGAGCTCAAAGCCTTGGAGCGACCGGAACCGGTCCTGCACCGACGAAAGACGCAGCGCACTGCAGAGCACGTTAAAGAGGTTGTGCACAAGCTCTTCCTCTTCGTCCGAGCTCGGGTCCGTCTTGCGGTACGAGGCGAGGCATTGGAGCAGTTGGTCGAGACGGTCGTCGTCCAGCGCGCGGCGCCCGAGGACTTCGGCGGCGTCGTCGGACGCCTGCACGAGGATCGAGAGAATCTCGGAGCAGTACAGTCGGTTCTCGGTCATTTCTGGCGACGCGCACGCCCGCAAGAGCACGTCAAGCACGTTCGTCGACGTGCTCAAGATGCCGCAGCTTTCCGGCACGAGCTCGGACAAGTTTTCCATGATCTGCAGAATGTTGTAGATGGCTGCACGCTTCTCGTCGTCGCTGTTGGCATGCGCGTCGAGAAGGAGCTCGTCGAGGTTGTGGCAGAGCAGCTCGAGGCCCTTGTGGCCCATGATGGCTTCGATGAGCGACTCGACCTCGCCGACGCGCTCAACGTCCGTCATGTCGGCGAGGACGGCCACCACGTCCATGCGGATGTCCATGTTGGCATGGGACAACAGCTGCACAAACATCGGGATCGCGTTGTGCTCGATGAGCACGGCAAAGAGCTCTGGGTCCGTCGCCACGTTCTTGAGGCGGCCAATGTCTTCGTGCAAGGCGAGCTCCGAGTCCTACGGCGATGAGCGTATGCCGCAAGGTGGGTGGTGTACCATGAACTTGGTCGGGTCGTCTTGGTGCTTGGCGCGCATGAGCTCGTTCTTCTGCAGCTTCTTCTCGAGCGACTGCACCATTTGCTTGACCGTGCGCGCGTTGAGGACAAACTCGGCGCTGTCTGGCGCATCGACGTCGGGCAGCGCCGCCGCCGCCGCCGCCGCCGGCGCTGGCGCACGAGCCTGCTTCTTGGCCGGGCGGTCGTCGGCTGCTGGCCGAGCACGACGCGGCTTGGCATCGTCCACGTGGCTAAAGACCTTGTCAAAGTGGGCTTCCATGGCGGCTGGGCGTCGGGCTGAGCGCGTCGAGCGTGTGGTAAAATACACTATTTACAAGCCCTCGAAATCGTGTGCTCCCAGTTTTTCATATAGTGTAATATAACACGAAATCCGAAACTATGACACACGCCAAATGGTGTTGGATGCAACTGCTGCGACAAGCCAATACGATCCAGCGGGCTGTCGCGACAATAGACAATATTGGAGGGCGGTGTTGCCTTCTGCCGCCAATATGAATATAATGCAGTCCAACGAGGAGGAGGCAGCATCCGTCCGTACCCAGTGTATGATCGAAAGGGTTCGATGCATCTCCGCCGGCACCGCGCATTGCCATGACGCGGTGTGGCGCCAATATAAACCGGCGATAGCAATATAAACCTGCGATGACGCTTCGGCGTAGATGACTATAGGGGCGAGTGCGCGCTGGCACCTCGGAAGGTGTATGTACTTCTATTGGGTATCACTGTGATGGCAATACGGCGAGGTTGGTCGTGTAGCGCCGGGGTGCAGCGTTGGTGCAGCGTTGGTCCACTAGTTTTGGCCCCGCGATTACTCGAGGTCGCATTTCGCCCTCCTGCCGCGACTATAAAATATTGAGCGTTACCAGCTGGCGACAGCGCGCTGCGTTTCAAGTCCACATTATATTACAGCCAATATTTTGCTGGTCTGGCTCTCCCATCGCACCTGATTGGCCTATTCCGTGCGCAGGAGTCGATTCAACCAATCAGCGGGTCGAAATGACCTTGAATTTGACCAATCGTATGGAGAAGCTGCTCTTCAAGCTTTAGCCGCGGGGTCCATCTGGCCACGCAGCGCAGAATAAGAACGCGCTCGTCGGCCCGTCGACAAGCTCAGGACCCTTGGACAGCGGACGACAAGGATGGGGTGCTGGCTATCGCGGTGCTTGCCGGACGGAACCATGACGGCAAACCTCGAGGAAGAGCTCTACGAAGACGTCGGCGTCCGTGAGACGCAGGCGCCGGCCGTCGTCTTTGGCCATGCGTCGCTGCTTACGGTTCGCCGCTAACGATGCAAGCGCGTCGCCTCACTCTGCACGTAGGCGGACGAAGTGAGCTGCGGTCCGGCCATCGGCAAGGGCGAGTCTGGCGTCGTATATAAAGCCTCGTACCGCGGCAGCACGGTCGTCGTCAAGCGGCTTGCGATGCCGCCGCCCAACGCGGCCAAGCCATCAAGCCGTGAGACCATCTCGGCCGCGCTCGAGATGGAGGCGTCACGCATGAGCAGCCTGCGCCACCCGAACACCGTCCTCTTTATGGGCGCGTACCTCAACAAGAACCAATTTTGCATTGTGAGGTACGTGGCTGCTCCTTGCAAGCTCGATGACGATGCCATTGCTATGTAGCGAGTATTGCACGCGCGGGTCGCTCTTTGACGTGCTGCATGAGAAGCGGAACTCGCACGGCAGCGGCCGCAACGGCTCGGACCCGCTGCACGTCGCTGCGTTGCCATGGAGTCTGCGCTGCCGCCTCGCACTGGGCGCCGCCCGCGGGCTCTTGTACCTTCATTCGGCCGACCCGCCGCTCGTCCACGGGCAGCTCAAGAGCTCCAACATCCTCATTGACGACTCGTGGAACGCCAAGCTGGCGGTACGCGCTTGTCTTGTCGAGTGCCGGCCACTCCATGGCGACCTAGGACTTTGGCACGCGGCGCGTCGCCCAAGCCGTCTCGGCGCACACCAAGCACGGGAACCGATCGATCATGCCCCGCTGGACAGCACCAGAACTGCTCAAGCACGGCGAAGACTACGTGTGGCACGGCCCCAAGCCGCAGGCCGTCGACATTTACTCGTTTGGGTACCCGAAAAATTCCTGTTTTTTCAAAATTGCTAATTTTTTACACTAGGATCATCATGTGGGAGCTCGCAATGTTTGAGCTGCCGTTTGACGACTGCACCAACTTTCGCGAAGTCCGCACGAACGTGCTCTCGGGGCAGCGGCCAAGCGTCAAGCCTGGTGCGTGCCCCATGAAGTGGGCCGAGCTCATGACCAAGTGCTGGACGCACAACGCGTCGCGTCGACCGTCCGCCGCCGAGATCGTCTCGGTCCTCGAAGACCTCTCGCGCTCCGAGCTGGTCGAGAAGAAACACTCGTCGCAGAGCAAGGCCAACAGTAGACGAGCTAGAAATGTATAATCATTTATTATCCTTGAGGTTGCGTCGGCGTGTTTGTGTTACGCGTTGCCCAAGATACCCAGGAAAAGCCAACGAGCCAAAGTTCAATCCACAAAATTTGTGGATTGATTGTCGCTATATGCACGAGCAAGGAGCTCCCACCTACTTTTGCACACGGTCAGAGCGTCCCTTTTGCGTCGGTTTTAGCAAATTCTGGGCATTTCAACGCCGACCTCGACACCTTCTGCAACCCGTTGTATCCTGGGCAGCGATGTCGTAGGATAATCTATCTACCCCTCCCTTCTATATTGCGACGCCGTTGGTCGAGCTCCGTGTCGTACTTGATCGACCACCCTTTCCTGGACTTCGTGCCACGATTTCCGAGCGGTCAAATTTATTGCCGAGGGCAGGTTGAACTATGGGACCACCCGGTGCGCTTTCGCAAGCCGCACGCCAGACCCGTGGTGCTAGATGCGTCCTCCAGATCGGCTGCAGTTGCATGAGCAACTGTTGTCCACAGGGAAAATGGCGTCCTGGCTTTTGCCATCAACTTGATCCAAAGTATCCACGCCAAGGACTGGAGACCACCCTCGTGGACGATATTACAACCATGCGCGAAGACATCTCTTTGTGTTATTCATGCTTGGCGCGCTTCGCTTTGGGCGGCGCGGTCGCGTCTTGGTGGCGCTTGAGCGCCGCTTTGGACCGTGCAAAGACCAGGCTGGTTTCAGTCGACTCGGTATTGCTAAAGGCGTAGCCTTCGAGGTCGAACGCTCTGAGTGCGGCGATCGAGCTCAATCGACGTGTCGATACGTAGTGCACCATGAGGCCCCGCGCCCGCTTCGCAAACGCCGACTTGATCTTGCCGTCGTCCTTGAAGACAACGTCGACGATGAGAATCGACGGGTCCAGCGCCGACTTGTCGACGCTCTTAAAGTATTCTTGCGACGCGACGTTGAGGAGGATCTTCGTGTCGCCTTCTGGCGCAGTGGCGAAGAGGTCGTTGAGCTCTCTCGCGATCGTATTGCCCCAAAACATATACAGGTCCTTGCCGCGTGCGTTTGCAAATTTCTGGCCCATCTCGAGGCGGTACGGCTGGATGAGGTCGAGCGGCCGCAGGATGCCTAGGTACGTGGGTAGGAGTTTGCACATCGCGATGGCTCGGCGCCGCACCGTAGAGGCCGCAAAGGATGCGCAAGTGGTCTTGGACATACGCGACGTCGTCGGTTGAAAACGAGGCGGCCTGGATGCCCTTGTAGGCAGGGCCATCAAAGGCGAAGAGTGCCTACATGAGGACAGAATCGCTCGATGCGGATCATGGCTATACCTGCTTGAAGGTGTCGGAGGGAGACGAGGCGTCGGCGTGATCGACAAAGTGCTTGTACCGGTCGTGATTGAGCTTGGCGAGCGCGTCGCTAACGCCCAGCAAACCCTTGAGCTTGGCTGGCGTGAGCTTGCGTAGGTCCTGGACCTAATGTGGCGCATGCGTCATGCACTTTTGGCTGCGTCGACGCCGTACCAGGATGGAGGCCTCGTCGAGGAACTTGGGCTGCGTACATGTCCTGAGCTTGGGCAGGGCCAAGTCCAGCGTCTTGGCCGGCGAAAGCACCATCACGAGCATCGTGGTCGGACCCGTTGGCTTGTTGGCGCTGGTGGGTGGATTTCCGGATAACTTAGAATCCGGATACTCTCATTATCCGGAAGATCACCACCGACGCTTATGGGTCAGCAAACAAGCAAGGTGGTCGAGGCAGGCGCAGCATGTCGCGCCGGACACTGGCGAGCAACCCAAGCTTTCTCTGACAAATGCGCGTCCACGGATTAGTTATCAGCTCTGGAGGGTAGAAAGGACTGTCGGTTTTACGCCGCGGTTTTGTATCGCTGCGTTCTCGTGCTGCCACGTATGCGATGATGCCATCTTGACGTTGACGTTGTCCGAAATGGTAACACGGCACACGATGGGCGGCAAGCTACCGCGGCGACTCGGGTTTTCTCTCTATTACGCACGCCGCGGCAGCCATGCAAGCGCGTGGCAGAGAAGAGACTGCCACGTAGAGTCCCACGCCAAACCACCACAGTACTAGTACTCGTTAACACAAATGAGGTACTAGGACGTTATGGTCATAATAGCGCATGGACATGAGGTGCCGTTGCAGCCCAAGCTAGCGTTAGAGAACTTGGTGAGCTGTGGTGGTGGGCAAACAGCAGTTGAAGAAGACGCCTCGTGTAGACGTAGACGATGAACGAAGGCGTCGTTTTCTGGGTTCGAACCTCAACGAGCGCATTCTTTAGGGCAAAAGAAACGCAGCACGAGACATGGCAACTATCCACGGAATCTCTCCCGTTCGGCGGGGTACGCCTCGCGATGGAACAAGGACGAACATTTTCGCGTGCATATTCGGCCAGGTGGGCGATCGCTACACCGGGTCACGTGCCCCGGGGCCGATTGCGAGGCCGGTTAATCGCACGCAAATTTGTCGTCGTCCGTGTCCCAGCAAAGCCAGTGGGAAGGCGCGGTGCCCCGGTCGCGTCTGCAAAGGGCGACGTCAACGACGAGTGGCGGACAACGTTGTGGTCGTCGACGGGCGTGGTGGCTAATCGGCCCGATTACTGTGGCGCTTATAATCGCTGCGTTTACGAGCGCCAGGCGGCGACACCCTCGCCCAATGAAAAGCTGCGTGTCGCATAGATCGGACCCACGGCCACATCGCCATGAGACTTGAAGTTTGTATAGTGTCTGTCACACTGCTCCCGGCGCTTCACCAGCGACGTCGTTAATAACCTCAGCTCACTTTCCAACTTTCTCTTTTCAGCATGGACGCCACCCAGAAGCGCGATATCATCATCAGCAACTCGACCACGTCGGGTCTCAAGGCCTCGGCGATTGCTGGCGTCACGGCCGGCTCGCTCGTCACCCTCGCCCATCATCAATCGCCGTGGTTCCGCAACCGACTCGGCGTGAGTGGCAAGGTCGGCCTCGCGGTCATGGCTTCGCTGGCGACGTTCGCGATCGTCGCCGAGCAGGACCTTCTCAAGGGCAGCCGCAACCCGGACGCGTACATCGCCGAGCTCAACGAGACCGAGACCAAGCAGGTCATCAAGAGCGACAACCACCTGCCGCTGTACCAGCAGGCCGCCAACTACGTCTACGACTACCCGTTCCGCACGCTCGTGTGCTCGGCCGCGCCACTCGTCGGCCTCATCTTCCTCGACCAGAGCCGCAACGCCAACATCCAGTTCTCGCAAAAGATCATGCACACGCGCATTTACGGCCAGGGCTCGTGCGTCGTCCTGCTCCTCGGCACGATGGCGTTCCACGACTGGATGACCAAGCGCGGCCGCTTCGAGTAAGCTCACTCGGTCCTCTTAGTCCATCGGAAGCCGGACCATAGCAGTAGTAGAACAGACGCATTGTAGGTCGTCACCACCCTCATCCTCATCATATATCTATCTATGCACGTACAACCCCGACTTCACGTCGCTTCATCCACAGCGCTGCCACGCCATGGGCGCTGATTGGTCAAATGTACGGAACAATTCGATATTTCCTGCAAGGCCATTGGCCGAAGGCGTCTCGTCGACCCCAGCGCGCACAGCTAGCGTGCACAGAAACACGCAACCGGCGCACGGCGCCAGTCAAATTTGCCGCTGTCCTTCCACTACAGCGTACCAGTACTAACTTCAGACAGCATGAGCAGCTCGAGCATCAAGCGCGACATCATCACGGCCAACTCGCTCGTCGTCGGGCTCCAGGCCAGCGTCGTCTCGGCCGCCACGATGGGCGCCGTCGTGTTCGCCGCCAACCAGACCTCGGCCACATTCCGCAACCGCCTCGGCCTCAGCGGCAAACTTGGCTTCGTCGCCATGGCGGGCCTCGCGGGCTTCTTCATTGCGGGCGAGCAGGACCTCCTTAAGGGCAGCCGCAACCCGGACGCGTACATCGCCGAGCTCGAGGGCAATACGACTGCCACGGCCACCGTCGCGTCGACGCGCAAGTCGCTCGGTCTGCACCACCAGCTCGCCAACTACGTGTACGACAACCCGTTCAAGAGCCTCACGTGCATGGCGACGCCGCTCGTCGGGTTCATCTACCTCGACCAGAGCCGCAACGCCAACATCCAGTTCTCGCAGAAGATCATGCACACGCGCATTTACGGCCAAGGCGCCTGCGTCGTCTTGCTGCTGAGCACGATGGCGTTCCACGACTACATGTCCAAGCGCGGGCACTTTGAGTAAAGGCGATCTATTTGCCGCCGACTACATTTATAGAATTTCACCGAATGACCAAATGGCGCACTTGATAACTTGATGTACCCACGCCTGTGCATGTCTTCGTCGCCGACCCAACGAGCGCCACGACGAGCAAAAGACACGGGTCATGTACTTGGCACCCAATCTCTCCGCGTGCATATAATAGCTGGTACAGCTAACTCCTATCTGCTGCGAAAAAGGCAGGTACCTACCTCCTCCCCGTGCAAGCAATATACAGCCAGCAGCACGTTGCATCCAACGTTGTGGCCTCCGATCGGAAGCGACCTGAGGTCAACGCCGTGACGCCGCCAACGTGGCGTCCCTCCCTGCCTGCCACCGGTTTGTTCAAACCCGACGGTTGCGCTAACAACGACGACGACGACGACGGCGCCCGCCTGTCTACCAAGATGGCGTCCCTTCGCCCTAAAAATACAACCGGCCAATGAGAGGCCGATAAGAGTATCTACCTTGGTCACATTTCCTTTTGTTGTCTCCACCACAGACCCCAGATAGTAGTATGAGCAGCAGCCCGCTGAGCCCGAACGCCAAGCGCGACGCGATCATCAGCAACTCGACGACGCAGGGTATCAAGGCTGCGGCGATCGCTGGCGTCACCGCTGGCTCGCTCGTCGCGGTCGCCCATCACCAATCCCCGTGGTTCCGGAATCGCCTCGGTGTCAGCGGCAAGGTTGGCCTCGCGGTGATGGCCTCGCTCGCCTCCTTTGCAATCGTCGCCGAGCAGGATCTTCTCCGAGGCAGCCGCAACCCGGACGCGTACTTGGCCGAGCTCCTCGAAGACAACGCGCCGATTGCGGCCAAGCCCGACCACCACCTGCCGCTGCACCAACGCGCGGCCAACTACGTGTACGACTACCCGTTCCGGACGCTCGTGTGCTCGGCTACACCGCTCGTCGGCCTCATCTTCTTTGACCAGAGCCGCAACGCCAACATCCAGTTCTCGCAGAAGATCATGCACACGCGCATTTACGGCCAGGGCTCGTGCGTCGTCCTGCTTCTCGGCACAATGGCGTTCCACGACTGGATGTCGAAGCGCGGTCGCTTCGAGTAGATGGTAGAGTCTTCTCGATGGACGCCCGCAATAACAAGATAAACACCATCGAGACTACCCACCATACTTGGTTACATCTTAGACGCCGGCGTCCGCAGCGATCTTGGCCTTCTTGGACGTTGCCTCGCGCCGCTTGTAGAAGAGCACGTACGGCGTATCGGTGGTCGCATGGGCGAGTGCGCTCTCGACCATGGCGTCGTCGACGCGGGCGACGTGGCTATCGTTGAGCAAGTGCCAGTCCTACCCAGCAAACCAAGATCTTGTTGGCGTGTCGGCAAGGATGGTGTCGTACCGAGTCGGGCAGGTGGCGGGCGTACGTGTAGTAGTGTCCGTGGTCGGCCCGCGTGCCGGCGTGGACGATGGCTGCATACAGATCGTACGGCACGTCGCCATGGACCGTCGGCAGGACAACGGGCTCTCGGCAGTCGACCGCCGTGCACACCTTTTCACGTGCGCCGCTATTTGGTGTTGGCAGTCAGCATTTGTATCGGTTGGCGTACCGAAGGCGGTTGTACTCGAACCGGTTGATCGACACGAGGAGGTGCGTCGGTGCGCGCTCGACCGAAATCCGCTTGGTCGCGCTGCCGCTGCACTGGCAGATGTCGCAAAAGTAGGCATTCTCGAGCCTACACAAAACATGTCTTGATACATTGATATTTTTCGATCGTGGTACCGCGACGAGAGCTCTTCCGGATCAAACTGCGCGCGGACAAGGTCGGCGAGGACTGGCGTCGATGCGACGGACGCACGTATGGGAATATGGAGGTCCGTAAACTCTTCGTTGGCGGACGAGGCCGTTGAGCACGTGTCGCACGTGATGGTTCGTAGCGTCGACCCTTGAAAGACGTCGTGGAGCGCGACGGCCTTGTCGCTCTCAAGAGCGTCGAGGAGGTAGTGCAGAAACTCGGCCGCGTCCTGCTGCCGTGTCGTCTGGTACTCGGGGAGGAGCACGCTTCGAAACCTACAACCGCCAACTTTTTTTCAGTTTTTTTCAGAAAATCCAATAAAAATTAACAGACCGCTCCATGGTGCGCGCGTCGAGCCAGCTGCTGCTGCTCGCTTGCATGCGCCCGAGAAGCGCACAAAACTCGGCCACGACGCCGGGTTTCGCGCTGTTTCGCGTGGCAAACAGCCGCCGCATCGCCGGCGTCCAATACAAACCCTACCCCGCGTCTGTGATTGGCGTCGTAAGCGTCGTCGTACCTGCAGCACCGCATTCATATAGCACGAGTTACCAATGTTCTTGAGCCCGATCGCATCCGAGTGCTGACGCACCGGCGCGCTCGTAGCATGCTGCGCACCCGCGTCGTCAGAGGCGAAAAACGGCGACGCGGCCGCGACCGCGCAGTTGGTCCACCGGCGCGCGTCGACGTACGTTTCTACCACATTTGCATGAGCACATTGTGCTGGTGCGAGGAGGGTCTATGCACCGACGACGAAGTCGGTTGGCAGTGGCGGCAACTGCGCCATGAGCATGCGCAGTGGTGCTTGCAAGAGCGGGTGCCCCGGGAAAGCAAATAAGAGTCCATGCAGTAGCTTTTGGAGATGCATAAGCGATTTGGAGGCAAACGGCGGCGATGCATGTGGCCAGCGGGCAATGCGATCATAAAAATGAGCATAACACGTCAGGAAGACGTCAGCGTTCTCTTGGTAGCCGAGGAAAATGGTCTCGAGCACGACAAGGCTGCCGTCGGCTGTGCGTGGATCGTCGAGTTGCTCGGCGGCCGTCAGCAGCACGTCGATGCCACCCTTGAGCAGCACGGCCCACGCTTCGCTTGCGACGACGCAGAGAAGGAGCTCGCGGAGCCAGTCGCCAGCAAAACCGAGCAGCGGAATGCGACCCGCCTTGATGAGCATTTCGGCGAGCTGCGGCGGCTTGAGACACAAGGCTGAGAGCGGCAAATCGCGGCCAAAAGCTGGCGCGGGGCACTCGTGGAAGATGCGGTGGAGGCGCCCGGCGTCGGCTGGCGTCCGAAATGCAACGAAGAGCAAAAGCACCTTGGTCGCGCTGCGCCACTCGTCCAGCCGCGTCTCCGTACGCATCCAGCCAAAGCAAGCGCGCTCTTCGTCGTCGTCGTCGTTCGATGGACTGCTGATGTACCGGCGAAAGGCCACAAGGAACTGACCGCGGAGCTGGCGCAGGCCATGCTGCGCGGGCGCCGCCGGCCACACTGCCCAGAGCACACCTGCCACTGCCACCTCTTGCTCCTGCGTGAGGCCGCCCTTCAAGAGGATGTGGTCCAGGTACTGCACCTTGACGTCGTCCGGGTGCTCGCTCCTGAGGAGCGCGGTCACGATGGCGTCCATCGTCCTTGCGGATCTGTCGGACAGCGTATGCGGATGCCATCCGGATACCGTTTGCCCGTTTGCTTTTCTGCGATCTCCAAGCCAAGTGCGCATGTCGGCGATTGTGACCGAGTACCTGGCCGAGTTTGACGCGTTGGCCGAGGCCATCGACGGCGCGCTGCTGGCGGCGTCTGTAGAGCGCCGAGGCCGAGGTGCGTCGCTCCTGTAGCTCCCAAGAGAAGGCCATAACCGTCTCCTCGTGGCCATAGATGCGGCGACAGCCGCGATGGTGACCGAAGCCAGCGAGCTGGTAGACCCGGCTGCAGCCATGCGCAACGTGGTGCGTCTTGAGCCTACTAACACCATGCGCGTAGATGCAACAAACTCAGCTGCATTTGCGCAGCCTGAATGTGGCTGCGCGGCGGCCGTTTGCCGACAAGATCCTGCGCAACGCGGCGCGCCTCGCCGCTTGGTCCGAGCCGCCGCAGGATGACAGGAGCGAGCTCGTTGGCGACGCTGCGATGCGCCGTCGTATGCAAGGCGCAACGCAGACGTACGTTCCGAGAGGTAGCATCGCGTGACGGGTGCGTGATGTAGGTTGCGGCGCACGGGCGACCTCATTGCAGCGGCGCAGAGCAGCGTGCTTGAGGCCGAGGCCACAGGTAGACCATATCCTCGGTTGTTCGTTGTACGACGCTTGGCGATGATGCGCTTCGCAGGCCATGCGATCCAAGCCGAGCTCAGCCGGAACCGCGAAACACTCGAGCATACGCAGGCCAAGGTCTCGGCAGTCAATGCGATGGCGCAGGCCAGCGACGCGCTCCTCACACGCATGACGTCGCGCTGGTCGTTTTGGCGAACATGAACGTTGATATTGCCCTTTTATATTTCCTGTGTTGAAGTCGACTCTGAGCTCCACATGCGAGGGGCCAATGCTTGCACGGTACTGCTACATGTCTACAGTCCCAGCGGTACGGCGCAAGCGCCTAGCTTTTGATTGTTGCCACAGCTAGAGAAAAGATCGATGCGACTCACTCCAAGGGCGAGGCGGGTTGACAAGTTGGTACTTTTGTACTTGGTGATTCCAGGCGACCGTCCTCCTTGCATCATGTCCACCACGACGCGCCGCCGACCATCGTCCTTGGGCTCACGCATGCAGTGTCCTTGAAGGCATTGCTTGTTGCGTGGCGACACTCAAGGCCTTCCCAGCATGCTCCCTGCCACAAGCTTGAACGCGCCAATGGCGGCGCTCCTTTGGTGTCAGGTTCTTTATCATAGAACTAGGAAGACGACACCGCACGAGTCGTTTCGAAGCTTCGAGTCGACTGCGCGTCGTTGTGTGTTTCCTAGTCGGACTATAGAAGCCGTTAGTGCACACCAGATTCGTTGTCGATGATAACGTTATGGTCGATGACACGCACGTTTTTAGGGGTAGGGGAAGGGTTGTTGTAGGGGTAGGGGAAGCATTGTCCTTGGCAATATTGTTTCGAACTCGTACTCTACAGGTCATCACGTGGCAAGAAGGACTTGCATGCATGACCACACTAGGCTAATAACGATCCTTGCACGTACAGTGTAGTCCTTGCCACCGCGGTGTTGAGAGTATTGTATCATAATTTACTTGGACGAAAATGAATGAACGAGGAGATACGTTGTCGCCTAAGCACCGGCCACGGGGCTCTCGAGCACAATGCAGCGCATGCGCTCGGTCGTGCGACCGTAGCGGTACCGAATGTGGCGCTTGGCCGCCTCGGTTCGGAATTTTCTGCTGCGAGTCGATGGCAGCTCGATCGAGACGCGCCGACATGTCGCAAGCGCTTCGCCCAGGGCCAAGTAGCCCTGCACGGTCAGCCGAGCATGTTTGATTTCAAGCATGACGCCAAGCGCGCTCGTTGTACGAGGCAGCGCTGCAGCCAGCACCAACGCTTGGGCGTCTCGGATGCTGCCATCGAAGAATGTGATCTTCCATGCACCGCGGCGGATCCAGTCGGCCATCGACATCAAGATGAAGTCGACAATCGATGCAGGCTGCGAGCTAGTGATCGCGAGAGGCCGGGCGCCGTGGAGAGGCGTCGTGACAGCCTCGAAGAACGCAATGGCCGACGAAGCGTCGATCGCACGGCTCGTGTCGACGACTCGGAGCTTGAAGCACTGACGCAAGATAGCACACAGCTGGCACCGGTCGTAGACAACGTCGTCTTCAACGTGCTTGTAGTGTGTGAGCTTGGAGCTCCACAGCGCAAGCCACTCCAAGGCGTCGAGGCCGCTGGGTCGAGCGGCGTTCAAGGTACCAGCACTGGCGCACGGGAAGAGTGGAAGCGCGTCGCGCACCAGACTCGCGGCTGCAGGCGTGATCAGATCCAGGTGCAGGAGAGGCCAGAGCGCATCCACAGGCTCCGACTCCGTTGCCAGAACATGTCGCCGGGGGTCTTGAAGCAGCATGTAGAGCGCGGCCAGCGGGACGCTGCGCGACGAGGCCGGAAGCGCAGCAAGGAAGGCCATGACGCCCTTGGCAGCAGGGATGTATCGGGCGATGTCCACAAGGACGTGGTCGAGGCCCAGGACCGTCGGCGGTGTCGTGGCTTGGCGCTTGCTACTGCTCATGCTGGATCGGTTGGGATTCTGAAGAATCCTCCCTCAAACTCAATCTCAACACGTAAAACTCAATCGCGCTTTTTCTCAAGCGCGTAGTTCACCCACCCGAGCAAAAGGCATGGCATCAACGTCAAACGACTTCGTTTATCGTATGGCTCCTACAGCGCCGTGTAGCGACGTACGTCCTTCCCACCCCATTGCTCAATGTTTTGTACTAGCATTCCCTAGTCGACTACAGGTTATAGTATTACCTCATAACCAGCAGTCGCTACAAACATTAGCCCTCGATTGGTACATACCACCGACTGCAGCCATCGCAATATCGCTTGGTTGAATGCATAGCTTGGAAGACATGTCACTAGCGCCTCGGCTCTCCATCGTACGAGTTGGAGGCTAAAGGCTGGGTTCGTCGTAGACCTTCGGTACCCCGACGCTGACCAAGTAGTCGCGCGTGCGGCGCATGTGAGCTCGGGCAATGCGCTCGTCCGGTTGATACGCCCGTTCCGGATTCCGGACTGTCGGGAGCGTGCCACGTCATACTAGTACATGTTTTCAACCAATCAGACTCGCCGGATAAGTCCATGAGTGAGAAGCGCCGCCGCCGACATCGACCCCGGCACTTGGCTTCACCCACGTGCTTGAGGAGAATGTTTGCTGCTGCGCTGCACCTAGCGACGTGCTGTCCTTCCTCAGTGCGCTGCCGGCGTCGACGTGGAGCGCGCCTCTGACGGCGCTCGACCAGCTTCTGCAAGCACCGCACACTGCCATCGACCACATTGGCGACAGCAACCCGCTGGACTATCTCTGGCCACGACTGGAGCTACAGAGCGTTGTACCACAAGCCACTTCGCTCGTGAATAGGACCATGCCGATTTTCAGCGCCGTCCGCCTCCACAACCTGCACGCACGCAATCACATCTTCGCTCGAACTTCGCTTCCGCTTCGAAGCAAGAGGTTTCCAATTTGTACAATATTATTATAGGGTTTCCCTGTGTTTTCGTGGGGCAGGTTTTGGTCGAGCTCTTTGGTTGAGGTTTTGCTTTAAGGTAGCGTGCAATCTAGCAGAGGGATCATGTACTACGTATGACGTAGTTTAAACTCGTCGGTGGACGAGATCGTGTGCATTTGAGTTCAATGTATCTGCCCCAAACCTCGGGTTTTCTTGGGGCAGGGTGTGGTTAGTCTTTGTGGTTGAGGTGGGGCATAGGGTCGGTGGGCCATCTAGCGCTCTTTCTGCGTAGCATGCGCAGTGGTTTGATCCATGCAGAAGGTTTGTGCAGGGTGCTGTCGCGCTTTTTGATTTCAGTTTGGTATCGGGGCCGTATACAACCTAGCGGTATGTCTGTGTCATAGCTTGGACAGTGTGGATGCCTTGCACCCTTACGCGCTCTTGTACTATGCACGTCCAACACACCCACGGGCCTGGCTACAGCCGGGTGCCCTCGCTGCGCTCGTGCGCTTCGCGCAAAAAAGTCGTTTATTCAATTCAAAGATAGAGAGAAGCCTCTACTTCATCGTATCCAGCATAGTCAGTCTAGGTTAGTCTTCTGTCGCATTTCTTTTCAATGATCACTTTCAGTTTTGCCTTCACTCGACCACTCGGTCTTGTCCAAGGCTTTGCACGCTTCCTCATCGCGCAGTAGCAGTGTCCACCGGAGACGTCCCAAGGGTACCATGTAACGAGTTATCCTGGGACGTCTCCGGTGGACACTGCTACTGCGCGATGAGGAAGCGTGCAAAGCCTTGGACAAGACCGAGTGGTCGAGTGAAGGCAAAAATGAAAGTAAAGGCATCGGTCTTCAACGACGTGGTCTTGCTGATCAGCGACGATCAAGTGCGTACGTGGCACGCACGTGAGGACGCTGGGCAAAGGTATGGAGAAGCAAAATGTAGACGGCGAAACGTGGTACTGGTGCGAATCTTGGCGAGGACGTCAAGCGACGCACCGGACGGGAGGAGATGCATGGTGACGGGCCGGTCCATATCATTACATCCACCTGACAACTTGCAGTTCAAGATGAAGTTTAAGTTGCCAAGCCTCTACTAGTACGAGCGGGTTTAGGTTTAGCTTTGTAAATGATCGATCGAATTCAGTTTTCCTTTTGCCTCCAAGCTTTAGTGTCCAACACTGGACGTCATGAGCGCGAGCAGGTTGGACGCTGGGACGACGCTCGCGACGGCCCGTGTCGACTTCAAACGGCGAGAGACCCGTCGACGCTGACGAGGCTCATGTGCGCGTACTCGATGTTGCAAAGGAGGTTGGCACAATCGGTGTCCAGGTACGAGACGGTGCAGCGCAGAGCATCTTCCACTGTGCGGTTTTGGCGCTCCATCTGGCCGTCCGTTTTGGCCCGATGAGCGGTCAACCAGACCGACACACAAGGGAGCACCGTCCGGGCAATGGGGCACGACGCGCAGCATCCCGGCGCCAATTGGGCATGACATTGGAGCAGGGCTCGCATCGCGCATCGGTTACATTGGGTGGCATGACCAACAGGCAGTCATTGGAGCGAGCGACGCCACGTAGCATGACGTAGCGTTCGTGGCCCGCAAGAAGCGTCGCAGCATCGGACGGCAGACCCAAGCAGTAGCGCACGGGTGGTGGACGCTCGGGCTGCGGCGTGACGGGCACTTGAGCTCGAGATTTTGCCGCGATGTTGACCTTGCTTCGGCATGTCTTGCACACACCCTTCAACGGCTCGTTCGTCTTCTTCCATTTCCCACAGCTGCCGACGCACCGATTGCACTTGGGCGCAGGCTTGGGCGTCGGCACCATTTTGCGCAGGCATCGATTTCGAGCGTCGGTGATTGAGATGGATATAGTAAAAGCGTACTAGTACTGGAAACGGCCCGCTTCCGCACACGAGTTTGATGCGCGATTCCCGGAGATTCCTGAATTTTTTTGAACAGCAGACACGTATCGCTTTGATTAAGCTCGTGTCCAAATCTTGTCGTTGCGGTCGCGCGCGGAGGTGTTCAAATCGATATCCGCAGAAGCTCACTCTGGGACCATCGGTGTTGGCGATTCGATCCAACATTTATCCTAAACTACTTATCGTAGCGCTACGCGTCATAGCTTGTTCGATGGATATCGAGATCGTTGGGCCAGACGTCAAATACACGGCGTCATAACGTCAAAAAGGCGCCACATACAATATTGTAGTGACGCAACAATCAAGATAGTTTAACAACGTTACTACGCTTCGACGCTCTCCGCGGCACTCTCGAGTACGAGGCGGTCCTTGCGATTGTCGACATGGTACGTGATGCGGCGCTTCGTCGCCTCGGCGCGAAACACCTCGCTGTCGATTGACGGTAGCACGATCGAGATGCCGCGGCACGTCGTAAGTGCGTCTCCGAGTGCCACGTAATTTTGTACCGACAAGAAGACACGGCGTAGAACAATGCTGACACCGGATTGGCTCGTCGTCTCACGCAGCACCCTCGCAATCGCTGACGCACCGTCGTCATCAAGGTCGCAGTCGTCCAACGTGATGTTTCGGATACCGCGACGGATCCAGTTGGGCAACGACGTTGCGATGGCCTTGAACACGGACGGTTGTAGTCGTCGGCACGAGACCCACGAGAGCTCCGTAAGAACGTGCGCACGAGACAAGCCGAATGTAAGCGTCTCCCATGCCGCTTTGGTGACTAGGACGCGACGAAGCGTGACGCGCCGTAGCGTCAGTGGCAACACCGTTACAGGTGGCCGCCCACCGAGATAGCCGTCGGACAGTTCCAGCTCTTCAAGCGCTGGAAACGACGTCAGTGCTTCCACGAGTTCGGTGAGGCTGGCGCCATGGCAGCTGAGCTTGAGCGAGCAAAGCTGCTGACCGTGGAGCTGCCGCAGAAACTGCAGCAGTACTGGCACATCCGTGCGGCCGATCGAGACATCCAAGCATCTTAGACGATCAAACGACGGCGCAACAGCCACGAGCGACGCAAGGGTCCCGGGCACAAAGTCACGTAGCGTGAGGCTCGAGAGCATGTTGGTCTTGAGGAGCATCGCACTCAGTGTCCCACGATCCGCTGCGTCATTCTCGGTCGGGCTCGTCAAATCCAAGTGCTCGGCGTGACCAGAGGCAAGCCAGCGGTCCACGGACGCGATGGATCCAGCGCTCAGACTGATGCCCGTGATGGAGCGGACGCAGTGCGCGGACGTCGTGACGGCTTCGAGGATCGCTTGGCCACCGATTGCACCACCCACGTCAAGGACCTTGAGGTTCCGACACTGGCCCAAGAGACTGCAGAGGCGACCGAGGTCGTACGCCCCACCAGTGTGTTTGTACTGCGTGATCGTCATGCGCCACAGATGAAGCCACTCAAAGGCATCAAGACCCATCGGCGTGGGCACGTCGTCAAGGCCACAGTGGACGCTGGCAGCGGTAAAGACCGGCATCGCGTGACGCACCAGACTGGTGGCTACAGGTGTGATCGCGCCGAGTCGTAGCACTGGCCAGAGTGCGTCGAGCGGCCTTGGCTCAGTTGCAAGGACATGGCGCTGCGGGGCCTGAAGGAGGTCGTGGAGCGCGGCCAGATGCGTGCCTCTACGTGCCGAGGGTGGGAGCGCAGCAAGGAAGGTCTTGACGTCCTTGGCGGCAACCATGCACTGGACGATAGCGGTGAGGACGTGGTCCAGATGCAGTACCGTCGGCGAGGCCGCTGCTGGGCGCTTGCTGCTGCTCATGGGGTCAACTCTGATGGGATTGTGACGGACAGATGTTTTCTTAGACTCAATCTCAACTCAATCAGAATTGAGGCGGCCAGCCGGCCTATCCGATACCGCGGCACTGCTGAAGGCAACCTCACTCTCCTTGTAGTGTGGTTAGGTGTAGCCGAGCTTGTGGAGCGGTCAGCTGCGTGCTCCTACATGTCGAAGCTGGAAGTGCTGCGAGAATGCCCTTGGCGTCCTTGGCAGCTGGGCGAAGCTCAAGGACGTGGTCGAGATCCAGGACAGTCTGCAAGCCGCGTGCTGCCTCTGCTGCTGGTGTTGACCATGATCGATCGCCGATCCTTCAAGCTCAGCAAGAGAATCCTCCAATTCCCAGTGTCAGTGCCATAACTGTGCAATCTCTTGGCCACACCAAGCAATACCTCCATGACCACCAACTTGATGGGGCCGACGTTAGCGTGCAGTAGCGTGGGGTACACTGGGCAACAGCTCTTTTCGAACGACGGGTGCGATCCAGTGTCGCCCCACCCGTCTATCCGCTCACTCATTCGCATTCTGATGTCATACTCGACTCGGTCGTAGCCAGTCAACGAGCTAGGGTTTGTTTGGCGTCAGAAATTATTTCATTTTGCTCATCGCGCCTTCGAATGCCATTCATGTCACGGCATCGTCGCTAGCGCGCTCTGCAGACCGTGCACTAATGGATGGTCAACGCCATGCGTGATCGTGAGGATGCGACGCGCCTCTTGTAAATGCGTCCGACTCGTCCCGACGTGCTCGGGCCATTGCGCTTCGAGGTCGCCCAGCGTGTAGAGGTGCAGGCCAGCCATTGCATGCGTCGTCGGGTACATGGCTTCGTAGAACGTCCACATCGCTTGCGCCGTGTCGCGCGCATTCTCAAAGTCCCGCGCCGCCAAGTACTGCGTCAAAAGGTGCGAGTGGACCTCGAGTACATCGACGTTGAGCGCATGCAAGTGCGCGGTTCGAAGGACCAGCGCTTCTCGAAGGCAGACAATCGCTTCCTGTGGAGCCATGGGCACCGCTGCCGCCACGAGCTGCGTGGCGCGGGCCAAGTCGGGTGACGCGCCGGTGGCGATCGGTCCGCCGTCTTTGCCAGCATCCGAGACGACATCAAACGAGGTTGGCGACGTGCACCGGGCGCAAGTGCACCCAAAGTGGTACTGCGCTTGGAGTTCGCGTCGGCGCTTGGTCGCTGGAATCGCCACGTCCACTATACGGGACAGCATATCAGCACCGGTACCATCGTGGACCCTGGTGTACTGTAGGCGTGTGTGACTTCTTCACCGGCGGCAATCGGGCGCAGTGCGCGCATCTGGAGTTCGTGCGACTTGGGCGCGAACCTACGACACGGATGCTGCGCCAGCTACACGAACGGTGGAGAGCGTACGTGACAGTGCAGTTGGCATCGCAGCTGTGGTTGACCATCGCACCCCACGGGTAGCAGCCTAGTACGTTCGCATTGGGCAAGGGCCCTCGGCATTGGAATGGCGCTACGTACCCGAGCCAATGTCGAGTAGAATTTCATCTGTGATCGTAAAATTGTTGGTGTGGAAGCGGCAAAGCATCTCTTCAATGTCCGAGACCGTGTAGCCCATACCTAGCATAGCGCCTGTCAATGGCTTCAAGCGCAGTGTCGTCGTACTCGACGGCAGCAGGTCGGTCTGGTCGACAATAGCGGCCGTGGCGTGCACCGCTGCGCGGTCGGCCTCGGACCAGACAAGGTCGTATGGATGCGTCGAGCGTGCATCCAAGTTCCGTGGCTCGTTTGGCGCCGGGGACGCGGAGACGAGGCGCAGCGTGCGCGCGATGAGGAGCGCATCAGCGACAACCGAGTACGCGTTCGCGGTCACCACGAGCCGCTCGAGCCGCGGGCACTCGAGCTTGTGCTGCAGGCGCCAGTCGCTCAGCTGGCATCCCTTGGAGCCTAGCATACATCGTCATAGCCATAAGCTAGCAAAGACATGGCGAACGTACAGTAGTAGACAAGCTTGCAGCGGGCGCAGCGCGCAAGCGAGCCTGGCTCAAAGCACGCCTGGCAGCGCTCGGTCCACAGACTCGGCGACAAGACAGTCGCAAAGGGCATCGACGTCAGCAAGAGCGTGCCAGGCGCGACGTCCTTGGTGGCTGCGATCCAGCGGCCTGCGCCGCGGTCCTTGGTCTCGAGTTGCACGGCCATCGGACCCCGCTCGAATTTCGTAGATTTGAAAATCAAATTTCGAAGACGATGCCATTGGGCGAACCACTTGCAGGACGATCGCCAAGGCCTCGTCGCCCGTCCTCCCCGCGCCACAGACGACGGGAAGCGAGGCCACATAATGTGCGCAAAAGCTATATATCTTATCTACTTATGGGTCGTCGTTTTCTTCCTACTGAGGTATATGCACGTATTTACTGGCCGTTGACCTGCGCGTGGGCATCTTCGATTGCCTCCTGCTGGCGGCGGTGAATCTCGGCCGCAAACGTCTATGCAGAAGAATGAGACCCACGGTGCTATCACCACGAGCAAAACGTACGTCGCACGTGGCCTTGAACTCGTCCGTGTCGAGGTGCAGCGCCTGGAACGCAGCCGGGTTGGTGTTGTGCAGCGCCTGGACCGTCTCCAAGAAGACGGCAAACTCGTCAATGTTGTCGAGCTCGCTCGTGCCATAGTCGTCTTCGTCGCCGCCCATAAAGTACGAGCCGTCTTCGCCCTACACACGTCGATATCGTCAGGCTCCCACATTCCATGCAACTATAGTCGTACGTTGCGCTGGAGTTCGCGCATCCAGGCCGCGATTTCTTCGTCCTGGAGGTCCTCGGCGTCTTCGTCCGAGGCGTACCCGCCCTGGTCGACGAGCTGGTCAAAGCCCTCGCCGTCGTCCGACTCGTTTTCCGAGTCTTCTTCCTCCTGGGGCTCCTTCTGAATCTCCTGGAGCTGCGTCACGGCGCCCACAAGGAGGCCTTGCAGGTGCGGCTGGAGCGTCGGCGGCAACTCGGCGAGCGGCAGCTTGAAGATCGCCATGAGGCCGAGCACCATCATCTTGCGGTCCATGTAGCTCTTGATGTTGGGGAGGTGCGTCATCCACGCGCGGAAGAGCGGGTCGGTCGCCTGGAACGACTCCATCGTCGTGAGCGTCAGCGCCGGGTTGTAGTTGAGCGCCGACGCAATCACGCCAAAGAGCGCCGTCACAACGTTCGTCTGGAGCGACCGCGACAGCTTGAGGCACGTGATCTGGACGATCATCGGCACACAGACGCTAATGTCGTGGCGAAGGCAGTTGTGCAAAATCGAGTAGAGGAGGCGGCACGCAGCGACAAGCTCCAAGCTCTTGTCGCTCTCTTCGCCTTCGCTCGTCTTGAAGACGTGCGCGGCCATCTGGAAGACCATCTCGAGGTACGAGACGCGCGAGCCGTCGACGCCGACGACGCCACCAGCCAGGAACGCGTTGACGTCAAGGCCGATAAAGTTGTCGATGAGCGAGACGTAGTTGGAGATGTAGTCGGCGGCCCAGTCGTTGTACGACGAAAAGAGCTTGGGGAAGAGCGCCCACACCGACGGCGCAATCGACTTGGAGTGGTACGTGAGCGAGATCAAAATGTCGAGGGCCGACTCGAGGTACTCGAGGTAGTCTTCGCTCGAGAGGACGCGGTCCAGCACGGGCACGAGCGGCTCGAGGAAGAGCGGGAAGTACTCGGGCTGATTGTGGATCGAGTACAAGATCGTGTTGACCGTGTCGAGGCACGACGCCGCCGTCATGCACGCTTCGTCGTCTTCGTCGCCCGACTCGGAGAACTGGAGGAAGCAGTCGACGAGCTTCTGGATGAGCTGCACCGCGTACGGGCCGATCTCATCAGCGAACGCATCGATGATGTGCTCGAGCGCAATGACGACATCGTCGTTGCCAATCTCGTCCATGAGGCTGAAGTACTGCTGCATAATGTCGGGCAAGAGCGGGCGCATGACGTCCAAGGCCGCGGTCGAGTGCTCGTACGTGACAATGTAGCGGAGCGTCTTGGCGGCTTCGATCTGCACCGGGAGTTCCGGGTCCTTCATGCACTTGAGCATGCACTGCGCGATCTCAGTCACCGTCGTATCGGCGAACGCCATGTCCGAGATGAAGTGGCCCGTAAACATCTTGCACGCGCGGAGGCGTAGGAACCCGTGCGAGTTGTGAAACTCGGGCAACACATGCGTGAGGAGGAGCGTCTCGACTTGGGCCTTATGCACCTTGGACTTGACGAGGAGCTTGTCGAGCGACATGAGACCGTGGAGCACCGCGTCCTTCTGGACCACGTCGCGGGCTTCGACCGGCGTTGCCTGGTACGTGCTCAGAATCTGGTTGTAGAACATGAGCACGTTCGAGAAGCAGTCCTTGCCCCGGAGCGTGCAGAGCTCATTGAGGAGGTCGCGGGCTGCGTTCACAGGCGAGAGGTAGTCCTCGAAGAAGTCGTTGGTCTTGCGCACAAACTCGTGCGGGTCTTCTTCCCAGAGCTGGAGGTCCGACTTGGTCAGGCAGAGCGCGGGGTGGACGACCTCGAAGAGGAGGAAGTGGAGATGCGGCTTGAGCTGCTTGAACGCGAGCGACGACTTGACGGCTTCGTTGAGGTACGTGAGGCAGAGGTGCACGACGCGGTCGGTGCAAAAGTGGCCGTTCTTGCGCAACGCGAGCGTCTCGAGGACGCCAGCGAGCATCGGCGGGTTGATGTTGGCGCGGAAGAACTTGGACATCTCCGTAAACTCCTCCGGCACGTGCTTCGGGTTGCCCCAGCGCATGTAGAAACGCGTGAGGATCTGGAGGTTCCACTTCTTGACCTTCCACCACGGCCACTTGGCGCGCTCGTCGGCGTCCGTGGGCTGCCCGAGCGGCTCAACGCCTTCGGACGCTTCCGGCAGCCGCTTGGTGAGGAGCGCACCGAACAGCTCCATCCACGCCGTGACCTCGGTCGTCGTCGCGAGCATCGGCGGGAGCGACACCTGCATGCACGACCAGTAGATCTTGAGGATGAGGTGGATCATGTGCGCAGCTTCGAGCGAGTTGTTGGTCATGAGCTGCGAGAGCATGCCACGGAGCATCGGGAACGTGACGCCGACGATCGTGTTGAGATCCGCGCGGTTCTATATGGATCCCATGGAGCGATTCGTATGGAGGCGTGGTTGTAGCTACCTCTTCGCGGCGGTACTCGTAGAGCTTGACGAGCTTGCGCAGCGCGAGGAGCGCCTACATGTGGCATGAATTGGGGTTGGGTATGGCAGAAGATGGAGTACGTTGCAGATGCGCGTGACGTCGCCCGACTGGACATTGGTCGTGATCTCGGCGACGAGGCCCGGCCACTTGTTGGGGAAGTCAACGCGGGCAATCTGGCTCACGGCTTCAGCGAGGATCGAGCGGAGCGACCGGTCTTCCATGGTCAAGAGGCTCTCGAAGATATGCTTGCGGTACTCGTCCTTGTCGCTGTTGGGGAACACCGAGAGCATCGTGTTGTCAGGCTGGTTCACGCCCTCCCAGTGCTTGAGCACCATGTTCTTGAGCGCGACGGCGCCGGCCTGGCGGATCTCGCGCTGGACGTCGGCCGCCGAGACGAGCTGCGCGAGCAGCACGATGGAACCGCGCACCGTGTGGAGGTTGGCGACCGCGTCCTCGGCGGCCTTGCGCGCACCGCCGTCGTTGCTGAACGTGTGCAGAAGGATGTTGTGCAGCGTCGGCGCGTCCATGCTCGTCGTTGCCTTCGTCACGAATATGTGCCAATGGCTCGCCGAGGAAAGGCCCTGGCAGCGTATCCGGATGATGGCCGGCCGTTCGAAAAGTTGCCCAGCACCTGCCCGCCGAACAATTCTTGCCGTAGCTGTTGTCCTTCATCGTACATAGGACCGCGACCATGGTCGCTATATCCACTCCGTATCGGTCATCTAGGTAGAGAGGTGTGAGC